TAAAAAAGTTTATTAGTTTTCGAGTTATTATCGAAAAACTGAAAACATCAATTTTGTGCAAATTCAATTCACTTTTTTTCCAATTTCTACAGCTCATAGCAAGCGACTCGGCAGCAGTACGAAGATGCCAATAGGCTCGTTGGAAAGGTGAGACATTCAGCTTTCATACGAGTGGTCGATGATGTAATTATCTTAAGGGGTTGTCGAGAAATTCACGTCGTTTCTCTGTTTTTTCAATATCTACAGTTCAAAGCAGGTGACACACGAAGATGTAGGCTGCAACCACACATACCGACTATTTCCTGATAATTCCGGCAGATGTCGTTGCTCGCCGTAATTGAAATGCATATAACTCGAAAGCGAATTGGTATTTAAATGATTAGACTAAAGTAATAATATTACATGTGTGCAAGCTCTATTTTGACAATTTTTTTTATTTAAATTAGAACGATTTTAAAGACGTGGATCGCCTACAACCTTTGAGATATTGCTAGCAGATGGCGCCAGCTGTCAGAACGATTGGGAGAAAATATAATTTACGCCTAAAGGGCAGGCAACCAAATATACACGTACACTTTGTAGAACAAATAAGAAAACAACGACTTAGATAATGGCCTGTATTTGAGTAAACTTGAGCTCCCAGAAGAATGTTATAAATGGATGTTGATCTTGATTAAACGGATTAAAATGAGGGCAAATGTTAATTTGTAGCTGCAATGGTATCCCCATAATTGATTAACAAACTTTGGTATTTTACAAATTAGTTGGGGGAAAATAGCGTCTTCGAAAATGGTCTGTATTTTCGTATACATTCACTCTCAAAAGAGTGTAAGGACTTAATGTTGATCTTGATTATAGAGAGATTGAAATGAGTGTAAATACATGTCTGTAGCTAACATAGTTTCGTCACAATTGATTATCAAACTTTGGTATTAGATAGCCTTCGAAAATGGCCTGCATTTTCGTAAGCACTTGCTCCTTAAAGTATATTGAAGATGAAAACGATCGTTGGGAGACGAACCTGAGAGTTGGAAATCATTCAACGGATAACTGCTAAATGCGTGCCCGAATATACCAACAAAACTTGTTGCAAATTGCTTAAGTTCTCTCTCTCTCTTTACACTTCTGAAATATAATGTAAAATATTTAATGTTAATGTTTGTATATTTATTACATAACAACGTACATCCGTGATCATGACAATTCACACATAATTCTAATGTTTATTATTTGCTCATTTTTAGGTCTTCGGGAGAAACGTAAAATTCGAATTCGTAAAATATTGAAACGAATAATTGGCACTAAAATATAACTTTTCAACTATGATAAATGTATTATAATGTATCACTATGAGTGTGTGTGTGTGTATATATAAATTTATACAAGTTAAAACATACAAAATAATTAATAATAATAATATTAAATATGACTAAAAAATATGACACGTAAAATAATAATAATAAGAAAAAATGAAGAAAAAGAGATTTTTGTTCGTAACAAATAATATAGGATAATTATTTAAGTGTATAAACGACATACCATGCAAAACGTAGTTCCGTAGTAAAAGAAATAAAATAATATACGTGGAGAATATACAGCAATTGATATGAATCAATTCACGTTCGTCCGTTCGAGTCGGAAATCGTAATTGTAATCCCTCATCAATTCGGACATTTTCCTCGATTTTACAATAGGGAGTTGAATCTGGAAAACGAATATACAAATACTATAAAACTGGGAAATATGATGATGAAGATGATTACCTTGTCGGCACTGCCGTTGCCGAATTTTGGATTGAGCGCAAAGGGAACGCCCTCGAGGCCGGCATAATTGGACGTCGAGCCAATCGTATTGTGAGCAGCTGGATGGTTCTGGACGTGGAGGGGAGGACTGAGCGGATATTGGCTGGGCGGCAACGGGGCGGGTCTCGAGGGTGTCTGGATCGGATTGAGGATCTCGTAATCGCCGTCGCCGTCGCTCAAATCCGGGTACATCGAAGTGCCTTTGGGTGGTAGAGGAGGTGGAGGCGCAGCACCACCTCGCTTCTGGTGACCGATCACGCCGTTCGACTGACTGGGAGAGGGGTTCGACGTCTGGATGTTGCCCATTTTGTAGCAGATCAGTAAACCGTTCAAATCTCTGAAATTGCGATTGCGAACTTAGTAGAAAATCTGAAATCTGAGTGGAAGAGCTTCTTACCCTGCTTGCACGAATCCGTCAGGTGCCTTCTTCAGTCTACTGCACACGATAATATCGGTGATGGCAAGTTGAGTGTTATACTTGGGCACCAACTTGTAGCAGAGCTGCTTCTTGCGCCAGGCCTTCTGCTCACTGTCCGCTGTCCTATTGAGCAAACTGTAGCCTTCCGATGGAACAGACTTTTCATTCAAAATACTCAGCTCCTTTAATACGAAGTCGGGTAATCCTAAAGAAAAAGTCATTGAAAGTCATCAGTCAAGCATAAGAAGAAAGGTTGTTGTTGTTGTGTACCTTCTGTTTTTGATATGCAGAGGTATCGGATGGACTTTTTCTTTAGGAAAGAACTTCCCTCTCGCCAGAGATCAGCATCCTGGTCCTGGTCGTGGGTCTTGCTGATGGCGTAAAATCCGGGTGGACACCTCTCCAAATTCTCGATTATCTAAGAGGAACGACCGACAGAACATGAAACAAACGAACTCGGTATATTATTAGTACTACTACTACTACGTATCATTTGCATGCAGACACAGACTGATATCCACTTGCTAATAATAATCTGACAGCTGAACGACAGAGAGAGAGAAAGGAAATAAACAAAAAGGACTGTTTTTTTAGGTTATTAAATAAACTGCTTCTTCTTCTTCATCATCTGCAGTTCTTTTGTTTTCGCTATGACAAGTACTTGATCTCGTATTATGAATGATTAATATGATCTTACCTGAAGCGAAGTGATTGGTCTGTCGTCCGGCAGCGTCTTTGATAACGAATCGAAGAGGAAAATGTTATTACTCTTCCTTTTGGACATCCTGTTCGCAGTTGGCAGTGATTGGTCGTCGTCGTCCTCGTCGTACTCCTGCAAGAGCAAAATAAAAAGAAGTAAACAACATCAATGGGTGGAATGCAATGTAATAATAATGGGGGGAAGAGCGAACGAAAGCAAACGAAAGGTCATTGGATATTATTCATTCATTCTCATCTCCGCCCAAATTTACTACCTGCCTTCCATGACGAGTGAACGAGCGAAATAGTGAGTGAATGAATAATAGGAAATAATGAAAAGTGTAAAATATTACGCAATCTTATTATCCGGAGAATCTCATCATCATCATCATGCCATGGCAACGCGAGAAGAAAAACAAACGCTAGCGAAATCCATCACCTACCTAACTAACTAACTACCTTCACTCGCGTCGCTCGTTAGGGTCAAGTTTAATGACCCTTCCTTCGTTCTCCTCCACCAACGCTCGCGCGAGTCAGACGGAGCGAAATTGAAATATTACAAGAACATGATGATTCAATTATAATTAATTGATGAGATGAGTCGAGAAGGGAGGAGGGGGTATCGCCGTTCTGTGCACGTAATTTGTATTTTTTCTGCGGTGCATCAACAACAACAAACACCAAAACAAAAACGCTCGCGGCTCACTCGAAATCGATCAATTTTCATCACTCGTCTGTAAAACAAAACAGGAAAATGAAAGTTACGCAAATAGATCCTGACATGAAAAACATTCATAGATAAAACGAAACGAAACGCACACAAAATAAATTGGAAGCGCGCCTACTCGACACGAAATACACACGCTTTTGTCAAGAATGTAACAACAATAATAATAGTAGTAGTAGTAATAGTAAAAGTTAAACTATCACGATAGTTAGAGCTATTAGATCAGATCTATTAATATAACGCGAAAGCTAAACGCAATAAAGTAACAAATATTTAAATTTTCTGTATTTTGTATATTGGGTTGCCTATATAAAAGATTACAACGGAAATGGTTATTGTAAGGAAAATTGGATATTTAAATAATGAATAAACATATCTTGCATTTCAATATATAATTGCTTTTAAACACACAATTATTCAATGAAAAATTGTATAGAAAATTGCAATTTGCAAAGCAAATAGAGTAATTAATTTGTTCTTGATGAAACTTACACTACAAATTCACTCACATGATCGCAAACTGACACTCACAGCCTTGTTGATGATCAAAATGCATTCTCCTCATACATCGCCACCACCACTTTCCTAACTGCATTTTAAATACATCCTACTACTACTGCTGCTGCTGTTTTTGTTCTCTTTTCTTCTTGCTTACTTGATTATGAACAGCAATTACATAGAACCATTAACATTGGTCAGACGATGAAATCGAATCCCCCCCCAAATAATGGAATGCATTTGCATAATCAATGTGGAATCATCGTTTCCTGTCTGCAACAAGAACATATGTTTAGATAGGATAGATAATTAAGGAATGTTTGAATGTACGATGTGTAATAGTAATCAATTCTTTAGCATCTTTTGCTATACATTTTCTCTTTTTCCTAAACAGTAACAAACATAGAACGTAACAATATGGGAAGGATTATTAATATTATTGATTTGAATATATTTATATATGGGTATAATAGTAATAGTAAATAGAGATTGTCGTATTGATTGGGAATCTTTATTATAGTAGATACGCTCAACGTATTACAGAAAAAAAAAATTGAATTAAGCTTCTCCCTGCGATTCGAGCTTCTTCAAGAAGGAAGCCTTCTTCTGGGCGATGCGGTTCTTGCGCTCGGACAGAGTCATCTTGACGCGGTTCCATCTCTTGAGGGTAGCCGGCTTGCGTTCCGGTTTCTTGTCGTGTCCAGGATCGGCGCGGATGGCCGCGTGCGCGTTCTTGTACATGTTCTCGATTTGGTCGGCGTTGATGCCCAGCTTGATGTACCTGCTGAACTGACGCTTGAACGCCTCTGGGTCCTCCTCCTCCAAGGACTTCATGTAATCGGCAACGTGCACACCGAAGATGTGGGCGCGATGGGCCTCGGCGTTGAAGGTCTTCGATTCGGCATCGTAGCCTGGGAACCTCTTGGTGGAGTGAGGAATGTTGAGTCCACCGTCGACGGCGCCCTTCATGGCGGCGAAGACGCGGGCACCGGTGGTGGTACGTTGAAGACCAGTATCCAAATAACATCTGCAAATCGTTACAATTAATATGTTTGCACACAATTCAAATCGAGAAATTAGAATGTATTGATATTATATATATCAGAGACACTTTCATATCAGTACACGGTGGTTAAGCTGAAACGTCAGGGGTCCCGATCTTATAAAACATAATTTCGGGTCCTTCTGAAACGACTTTGGCCTCCGAATCAGATGACGCGCATGTGTCAGGTAACTCATCACATTAGGGGGGGCATCATTCGATGCATCTTTTTCAGTTTTAATATAGTGATTTAATAGTAGAAATTATAAATTACCTGAAGGCAGCTGGGCCATCGTCAACGGATTCTACATTGTATTCGTCACCATCGACCTCCGTGTTTCCTTCATAGAGGGTGTCCAAGTTGAGCTTCTTGAGCAGACGACGGGCGCAGAGGAGACCGGTGGCGTAAGCAGCGGCGAAATTGGTCAAACCAACCTTGACACCGTACTTGGGCAACTCATGGGAGTATGCAGAGCAGATGATGTGATCACCCTCGATGCGGGAATACGCCACCTGGCAGGTGACATCCTTGTTGGAGAGACGCGCGATGAAACGGTACTTGGGGGTGTTGTATTTATTCTTGTCTTGGATGACCAAGCGTTTGCGGGCGTAGTAGTCAGTCCTTCCCTCACGACGCCTCTTGAACTTGACTTGGAAGCGCTTGAAGTACTGCTTATTCTTCACAACTTTAACGAAACCCTAAAAAAGAAAAACAACATAATATTAGCAACAGTTTCACTACTCAACTAAAACTAACAATTTTGGAAACAAAGATACATACATACATATAAGTTGTATATATTGCAATAATTAGGTCATGTTCTCATCTTGTAAACTATAACTACTGTCTTAATTTGCTCCAGACAATCTATCGATCATTAAATAAATCAACAGTTTGATGAGTTCGGAGACAAATTAAATTTCACTTTAGTCCAAAATCGACACAGCCGTGCTAGAGAAGAATTCTTCGCGTACGGCAGTAATTTGTTTGGACGTGGCCTTTTAGTCCACACAATAAATACATAAAAGATTGAACCATGACAACTTGAAACAAAACAAACACACATGGTAGCGTGTAAATAGAAGTTGAATCTAGTGAAATTAACAACATTTTCTTTTTACTAAAACCACGTATTCTGTACGATATATAACAAATACTCTATAGATTTGACAAACAACAATCGGCTAATTTCTTACAGTTAGCGTGTGTACGTGTGTGTATGTTATGGTTATGTTTTTTTGTCTTAAATATCTGGATACATCCGAATATTGATAAACTTAAATTCAGCGATTTATTTGTAAATCTTTAGAGTATGTACGTTGGAAGGATGCAGAGAGAATATTTCGAGGCTTTCGCTTACCATTTTGGAACTATTTTAATATAAATACACAAAACTCAATGGACTCTACGAGGCGAACGTCAGCCACCGCGGTCCGTATAGAAAGAGATAGAGTAGCGCATGCCCGGAAACCAGTAACTTCACTGACGTAAAACTCACCAGAACGAAATGCCAACTTGCAAAGAAAAATGTTACCGGCGTACATTTGGTTGCATATATATATATATAAAGATGATACATCATTAGGTCATGTTCTCAACTTGTAAACTATAACTACTGTCTTAATTTGATCTGATCATTATATAAATACGTTATAGTATAGGTCTAATATTGATAAAATAATTTGAAAGCGAATCTCGATATCGTTGCGAAATAATTTATAAAGTTTATTTACAATTTAAAAAAAAGAAAATCAACAGAAATGTATAATTGAGATCACAATCACATCATCGTTACGGATCCCAACCGTCGTCGTCGTCACCCCAACCGTCCTCCTGGTGGTCGTCGCTCTTCATCTCAAAGTTGAGCATGCCGTCGCCCTTCTCGTCCACGACGAATTTGGAGGAGGCCTCAATCACGGGCTCCATGTCCTGGAAGAAATCGATTTCCTCCTCGTTCTTTGCGCCAGAATGTTTCTGGTTCTTGATGTCAAGCTCGGCGATGTCTGGTAAAGAGATCGGTGCGGTAGACGGCATCTGCACTGCATCATTGTCATTAACATCATCATCTTCATCGTCGTCGTTGTTTCCCCAATCGTCCCAATTCTCTGCATCCTCCTGATGAGACGCGTACCGTCCACCGCTACCATCAACATCACCGTAATCCTGCTCCACTTGCATTCCTACCACCACCTCCTCAACATCCTCTTCCTCGACAGTGATTTCGACTTCGTCCGTCGAGGATTCTCCTTCTTCGCCGTCCGGACTGGGCCTCTCCGGAAGCTCCGAATCCCTGCGCAGAATCTCATTATCCAACGTAACGATCGGTTGTATCTGCTTATCCGTTTGTCTGCTAATTCTGCTCTTGCTCGACGCTACCATGGGTCTACCATCGTTGAAGAGTCTCGCACGGTTACCACCGATGACGGTGGCCGAACCGAGGATAGGAACGAGATCTGCTAAAGACCTCAGAGTCACCGCGACAAGATGATCATTCGTATCTTTGATGCCAACCAAAAGCTGCAACATTATAAACAATGTAACAAACGAACGAAAAAGGATCGAAAAAAGAACTATAGTACCTCCGGTAATATATGCGATTGCAGTTCGTCTTTGCTGAAGCAAGTCATGAAACCGTTCAGGTACTCGAGAAGAAGCAATCTGATCTGAGCGTCTCGCACTCTAAATATGTCCAGCAGCTTCGGCACGATGTGCTTCCGAAACGTGTCCAAACCGAAGAGAAAACTACCGTTCTTCTCGTCCTCGTCCTCCTCTGGTCTCGGGCTTAAAACGTACGGAATGACTTCAGCTTGAGCGCTCTTGTTCAGAAGGACCATCCGCGACAGCAGCAACGCACCCAATTGACTCGCAACGGTGGCTTCGTTGAAACCCCTCAACTTGTTCGTTAAACAGCCGAAGAATTCGTCCTTCTCACCGTCAGACTTCAACGGGAGTTCGGTCAGGAACGAGTGGATGTAGATGAACTCGTGATTGAAGAACGGATGGTCGAGGAGAGCAGACAGTTTCGGTCTTTGCGTTACGACGACGTTGTGCAGATCGTTTTTGCACATCTCCAGAAAATCCGTCAGAGATGGTACGGTTTCTGCAATTCAATAATTTAATACCGAATAACAATCCAATAAATCAACAACAGCAATAATTACCATCAGTTTTCTTCTTGAATACTTCATTGACTAATACAGCGAACGCGTAGATATCGACGCAATCCTTTCTGCTCCCTTGTATATTCTTGATCTCGTTGGGATCAATGGCTTTGCTGTACCTAATGTACAAAAATTTAGATTAATCCCATAGAACTGAATTTTTATTAATCTTTGTACCTGTGCGTTTTGGATTTGCATAGGTAATCTGCATTTGTATCCCTGAACTTGCACAGGTACTCCAGTCCACCCAACTTCCAAGCTCCGTCTTTGGTAATGTAAATCGAAGCGGTGCAGACGTTGTTGTGCGACGCCTCCGCAGTCTCGTGCAGAAACACGAGAGCCTTCAAAATGGAATGCAATCCGACGCAGATCTGCAGCGTGCTCTGTCCACCCAACATATGAGACAGAGGCTTCACGTTCTCCACAGCCAAATAGAATTTCGATCCCTTGCTCCACGACGAAATGTACTTTAATATGCAAGGGTGTCTGTGTATCATTAGATTCTACAAAAAAAAATAATCATCGCTTAGCTTAGCATTTCAAATTGTAAACGATCATAAATGACCGTACTTTGCTGGCCTTCTCCAATGGTGTGTTCGATATCCACAGAGATCCACCGATTAATGGTTCTCCGATGAACACAGAGACTGTGCTGTCCGTGTTGAATGTGGCCCTGTGATGGGACCAAAAGTCTGTGACTTCCACCGCCTTCTCCTCCACCTGCATTCCGGCCATGCGGGACTGGTCATTGCCCATCGCGTAATTGTCGGATGAGGGAATTTAACGACGTAAACAAAAAACCACTCACAGGGAGAACATAATAATGCATTTAAAACAGCTGTTCGGAGGAACGTAGGCAAACCGTGTCACACGTCAAACGTCAAATTGGGGATGTAGGCCACCAAATATGACCGACAAGAAATTTATACCAATTAGTAATTCAAAGATTAACAATAGTTTTACTTCATTAATTAATAGGCAAAGCGTATACGAAATGAGTAATGAAAAACATTCAATAAATTTGCAAGAAAATGTAATAGATATCAATTCCAATTTATACCGATAGATGGCACCTGATGTCTAAATAAAAATTTAAATTTGAACATTTGTAAAATGGATATATTAAGAAATTATCAAAAAGTTAATAAATAGATCAATAGTTGGCCACTGTGATTACAACTTGCATATTTGTCTTTAATTAGAATACTCATACTTATAAATGATTCGAGTTTGAATTAAACGATAAAAAATACGGTTTTGAAACCATCAGTTGGGGACGTTTATGGTGGATGCGCCGGGTATAAATTTGGGACTGCTTGGGACTACTAATGGACTCTGGTGGTAGTTAGTTAGTGGGGAATCCAAACCAATTTAATATCATTTGTTTTACGTACTTTCTGTACGACCTTTTCAATTCGGGATAATCAACCCATCCACCTCCCACTCAAATGGTTAAAGTTGGATGATTCGTATGTACATATAAAAAAAAATTCCCGTCCGTTAGTCAATTGGAAATCATGCATAAAATATCTTGTGTGTACGTATGTGCGTGTGGTTTTAGTGGTTTCGGTGTGTTGGTTGTGATCGATCCTCGAACGAAAGTGCCGTATTGTATATAATGGCCCTTTCCCACTCGCTCACTCACACCCCTTCACTTCTCTACACTCGTTCACTCTCAATGCTTACTGCTTTCAGTTTGAGTCTTTCCCTTGGTCTCTCTCTACGTGTATGAGTGTGTGTGTGCGTCTGTGTGTTTACGTAATGCAAGAGAAGAGAGAGGAATGAATGTCGATTAATGCTCGTTTCGGCCGTCGTCGTCGGAGGCGGTTCTGACGGCGGCGGCGTCGGAGGCGTCCTCGAGCCCAGCCCGCCTCCAGCAAAGAATTCGTCGTTTAGTCTGGACGCGGAAAGCACGCGCGACGCTTCCAACACACGCAGACGAAACGCGCTCCAACATCTATCTCTCTCTCTCTGAAACGCAACGGAAAAAAAGAAGAGAAAGTAATTAATAATTTTTCAATAAATACATAAATTGCAAACTCTAAATAATATCATCGCAGAGATGGCCATGATCTAAAGTAGCAAAACAAAAATGAAACATATGTGAGTTTGGGCAAAATTTCAATGGATTTGACCAGCTTAAACTTAAGAAATATTGATATGAGGTAAGAGGCACGCACCATCCATTCGATATCTCCATCTGCAGTACACATTTCACATCCATCTCACATAAACTTTTAATGAATCAATTGAAAAAAACGCGCAGTAAAAATTTTAACTTTCGTCACAACTGATGAGCAATGTTACCAAATTGAATTGATTATAAGTTACCAATAAAACATAATTTAATACAAGATACCACAACAACAACAACAACAAAAAAAACCGATTATTATCGACGAATAATTTATAATTACGATTCATTCATTCGTATTAAAGGATGAATCAATGAATAAACAAATATTATTTATGAATAATTTGTAATTGTGCAATCATCATCGAGATTTATATTTCAACGTTGGTAATATGTTTTTTTTTTGTAAGCAAATGAGTAAACGTCAAGTCGCAAGATATACATCTTTTGTTTGAAACAAACGAAGATGTTGTTTGAGTCGCAGAGAGCTTGATATTGCAGCTAAAATGCACGTTTCTTCTACTCTCTTTCTGAAGAAGAGAGCGCAACGAAAATCGTTTCCATTAAGAGGACGAAATTGAAGTTTATGAAAAGAAAAATAAGAAAAAATAATAAAATAGAAGATGCGAAGAACGACCGCCGCACACAATCTCGACCTTCCACTATTATTATTATATCTTAATAGGAAAGAGATGTACACGTGCAAACAATCCGGGCGGCCCTGGAAATACCAACTTATTTGACATTTAGATTAAAAACAACGTCTGTCATTTGTTATTACTGTTGTTATAACCAACAGAACTGACTAGATTTTCTCGTCGTCGCTAAGGGGAAACCACGCAACGAATTCGCCAAAAGTAAATAAATTTATATAACGAATAATTAGAGAATAATTAACGTTTAACCCCAACCACGGGCGAGCATTGTTTTCCCCTTTTATACTGTGTGTGTTTTCATAATGGAAATGAACTGCGGAAGAGAGAGAAAAAAAAAGGACGGCCATTCGATAAATATATGTTACAGATCCATTTACCATTTTTTCTCTCTCTCTCTTTTCTGCATTTGTTTTACGAGCAACCGGATGAACATCCCACATGCAGTAATAGCATAAGCGCACCTTTTTGTTTTTTCAACTTTTGCTTCATCCCACCTACATCCAGCTTTCATATGTATCTTTTGTATCAATTCCATCTGTTATACTTTCCGTGAAAACACATTAGTTGTATTACTATTATTATCTTTTTCGATATATTCTCAATTCTTTCTCTCCTTTCGTCTCGAATTTCTCACATCTACACATCGCTACACGTTCGCCGGTGTTTCTGCACTAAATTAAACATTTTCACAATAGAATCATTCGATTCAATCGAAATCCTGAAAAAGACCTAGTTTTGTTGTTGTTGTTGTTCGATTCCACGAAATATAGAAAAACACGTAACACTTGATACTGCAATATTCTGTCGTAGTCGTAACACCAGTTGCATTTGCAGATTCGTAATCATCATATAATCATGTTTTTTTTTTATTTGAACGTTGGCAATATGTAAATTTGAATGGTAATGATTAAAGGACATTTCCCGAACGTTTCTCTCGATTTCTCTTTAACTACATTGAAAGTCGATTACTTTACACGCAAATCGCTGGGGTCGGGAGGCATTAGGCATTTTATTTTACACGTGGTGACCCAATTTCCCCCGTTACGCGGTCGGAGGGCGACAATAAAAATCACTTTGCTACACGGCTGGTTGCGTGGATCCCCCGGGGGAGGAGGATGCATGACGCAACGGGCGGTCGAACGCCATCTACGAAACGACTCTCAGTTAACGCAATTCTTTTAGTTTTATCATTCATTTCTTTCGCGGATTGATTAAAGCTCGTTGCGATTTCGACTAAATGAAATTGCACGATTTGTTATGTTACGTAAATAGAAGGGAAGTACCTCTCTGAGATGATGCGGTTTTCAAGTAATTTTCTCTGAAAGGCAATAAAGCTTTCACGTATTAAATATAAATAGAAGAGGAGATTAAGTTGATTGGAGGTTGATTCTACTGGGAACGATACGATACGATAGTTTCATGTTGGTGTATCGTGTTGGGAAAAATCACTTAGAAAATTGATTAATCTTTGTTCTTCGCGTGTATGTTTATTGGAAGGAAGGAATCGAGTGTATGTAGGTTAATTACGCTAAGTGTATTGTGGCTAAATCTGAGAGGAGGAAAACAAACGACAATCTCCGCGTAATAACAAAAGAATTTGAAACAATTCATCCGCGTCGTTAATTACGTATAGTGTACACGTGGATGTTGGAGAGGATAAGAAGCCTGCTTGATGTAACGCTTCTTCATCTGGGAGCGGTAATTAAAAAGTTCAAAGGAAAGAAGTGGAAGCATGAAAGAAAGGGTGTTGTAAATCTGTAAAGTGTGCAGCGCTCTGTTGGTCGGAGAGACGGTAATAAGGGACGATAATTTTGAAAGGGGATAGCAGGTGGTGGAGGACTGTAGTGTGGATTAAAGAGCTAAATCAAGGCCGCACGCAAGCAAAAAGAAGATGTGAGTGTGTGTTTTTCTTTCACTCTCTCTCTTTCACTCCTGTTTCCACCTCGAGGGAATTCATTAAGACGACCGCAGCCCCGAGGCATTCACGATCTAGCCATCGGTGAACTCGTTACCATGGATATATATGAAACGGTCAGAGTTGTCAAAGGGTGCGCTCTCATCTTCAGCTGTTACGACGGAAACAAAACAACAACAACACCAACAAAAAAAAACACTATCGATTTTTGATGTCTAAAAATCCCTCAACCAATCTAATCGCAGATTGCCAAATTGTTATTAATAATAACCAAACTAATTGATAAAAGAAAGGCTACCAACATTTTAATATATATATATATCGTCTGCGAGAGCGCACGCAAATATTTATACGCAAACAAGAATGCTGATTAGAATAGAAACAATAACGGCAAGCAGCTGAAAAAAAAAGTATTAATAATAAATTACACTTCTTCTTTTTTAGTCTTTTACATGGAACGTACGCTTAATTGATAAACGTAATTGTTTCCATCAAAGTAATCTATGTTTTGTTTTTTTCTTCTCTTCTCATTTCAATTAGGATTATCGGAGCGCAACTGTTTCAAAAACGGGAAGAAAAAGTAAAATGAAAAACAGAATCCAGCCCCGTTTCGCAATTTATATTGCAATTAATTAGCGTCGAGAGATGTGAAAGAGGATGTGAAAACAACGAAAATGTATTCCTTTTGTTCGTTTGCGTTGCCATTAAAGTGTTCACTATGAGATATAGAGAGATAGAGAGACCTTGATTTAATTTTGTTTGTTCGTTTGTTTCAGTATTTAATGGTGTAAAAGAGTGCTTCTGCTACTGCTGTCGAGGACAGTGAATGCAAGTGCAAGTGCGAGCAGCGAGTATGACGGAGGAGGAGGATTCGGGACCGAGCGGTGCCGCCGTCCCTTCAGCCTCAGCCTCAGCCTCCAACGCCACCGCCGAAAGGTATCATCTACTAACTATAATCTCTACCACCGAATAAATTAACCTCAATTGGTCATTACGACAAATTAACAACTTCGTTGCTAAGCAGCAATTATGCAATCGGTTGCAATTTGGCAGACGTCAGAAGTGCTGTTTGTTTAGTGCCCTCGTCCGACACTTGTTGTCGACTGATGAATGAATGCTTCGTGGACGTTCGTGTAGACTAGATTAATTACAGATACACACACACACTTATTCAGAATATATAAATATGAAACAACAACTATACGATTCGTCCTTGTCGTTAATCGTGCGCCAAGAACAATTGAGAATCGAATAAATAAATAAAAGACACATATCGATATAGCATAGAAAAAGATCGAATAAATAAAGTAACGTTTCTTGGAGACGAGAATATGAACATTCGAGGTTGCTAAGAGACCAAGTGTGAGTACGTTTCAATATTTCTCGTTCATTAATGCGTTCGTCTAATGCGCTGTATAAAACACGCAAAAGTTTTCCGTTCAACTTTTCCAATTTCAGTTTCGGTTCGTTTCCTCTCTTTCCTTCTGCTCACGTTGAATAATAAATCTTAATTGAAACGGAGATTAATTATTCGACGCGAAAACCTTTTCTTTTCTTTCTTCTTTATTCCTTTTCCAGCGCACTTAATTCCCATTATTCGTTTAACGTACTCTTAACGGATAGTTTCATTAAACGCGTTAGCAAGACTTGAAACGAGTTCAAGTTAAATTGATTAATCGAAAGTTGAAAGAAAAGAAAAGTGAAGAAAAAAAAAAAGAGAGTTGTGTAAAAGTTATCGAAGAATTAAACTGTTCCTTGAAGTTGATTCGATAACAACTTTTGTCGGTTGCCAAGAGAGACGATAACCATTTTATATTTGACGGATCTGACAGATGTCGTGAATTGTCGTTGCGTCGATGAAGATTGATGAACGTTCGGTTCGGCACGTTGCAAGTGGTATTAAAAATATAAAATAAATCTCATGCAAAGAAAAAAAGGCGTACCGAAAACAAGCCCGGCGCATCCACTCATGCATTAATGCATGCACGCATGCAACCAACTGACCGCCCACGCAGGGCGGATTAAACGATACACCCGCACATGATCCCCCCCACCTATCGGAATTTTTAGTTTCAATTTCTGTTTCGTACGCATGAAGTATCGTCGTCACCAAGGTAAATAATATAAATTCGGTTGCTAAGAGGAGAGGGAGTGGTGGTGGTGGTGGTGATGGATGTGAGAAGGGATGAAGAATAATGAAGAAAGGGGTGTGGGGTGGGGGGAATTATTAATGGAGGAGCGAACGATTTTCGTTTCTTTCTTGTAAACCCCTCCCGTCCCCACCACTGCAACGAGAGGCAGCACCGTCGTCGTCGTCGTGGTGGAATTGCATCAATGTTTGAGCAGGTGGAAGGGTGAGAGAGAGAGAGAGAGACGAAGGCAAATATAGTTATGCTTTTGGGGAAACTTCGCCGCCGCCCCCTGGGATCTCCTATTAATTATGAAAATGCGCGTTCGGATCGGACGGAAAACCACCAACACCACCATGCAAAGAGCGAGTTGCACGGATGTAACGAGCAGGAAAAAATGTTGACCGACTTTTCTTTTCTTTTTTTTTTCTCGATTGACCTTTGATGGAACGAAACCCTTATTTCGCTATCGTCCAAAGGTCATCATCATCATCATCATAATCATCTGTTCAACCATTCCCCTGCGCTGATTGGCGCCAATTTCGCGTGCACACTAGATCAGATTTTACTTCGAAAATTGTAACATGTAAGTGTACACACACATGATGATGTTTGACTAATTTGTGTAATAGCCGCAAATGCGGATTGCTGTTCGTAATTTAATAGGATTATAAAGCGTTTTATATGTCGAGACTTTGTTGCTCTTGAATATACTCCATTATTGATTGCGAAAGGTAGGAAACTGAAGGTTTATATATGCATAACACTACCACTACTACTACTACATCATACAAAATGCTTTCGATTGACTTTGAGCAAAATTCAATTAACGTCACGTAGAAAATGTATCGGAACTTGAGAGAATCGCAGCAACACTGCACAAAGTTTAACAACAAACAAACAAGAAGTGTGTCAGCGAATTAGAGATACTGTAATCCTTATGCAACCAAACAATTAATTAATTAATTAATTTCGCAAAATTTCATATTTCACCGGAGATTTTTTTTTGTCCTCTCACCTCTTCAATTCGTAACAAGTTTTCTAATTAAATTTAACGTTCGTGCTTTTGTTTTCTGTTTAAGCGGCGGCGGCAAAGGTAAAGCTGAGCCCACCGGAGCAGACAGCCTCAGTTCGCAACGGTGAGTTGATCGTAATTGTTCGCACGCAAATCCCCATTTTCTCTCTTTCCTTTGTTTTTTAAATTATTTTTCTTATTCTGCTTTTCCCCAAACAAACAACAAAAAAACTAGCCATCAGCTTTTCACGTTATTAGCACCTGGAAACGTGCTAATTTCCGTTGAAATTAGCGTAAAGATCTTAACGTTGACAGCTGTTACTTGTCAAATTGACGTATGAAATAATCGAATACGATTCGTGCACAACTGTCAACCGTCAAATTGACACACGTATTGACGTACGCAATTAGATTGAGATGAACGGGATGATTTTGATTATCGAGGCGATGTTGTTGTTCTTGTTGGGAATGGAGAAAGCAAGAGAGAGAGAGAGAGAGTAAACCCGGTGGCAGTGGCATATATATGCACAAGATGAGATAGATGTGGGTGGGTGGGTGTTGGTTGTTGGAGGATTCTGTACGGATCGACGAGACAGGAATTTCCCTTCAAATATTAATTAACGCGTATTGAATAAGCTTTCAGCTGCAAATTTAACAGAAGGTGGGGGAAGTGGTTTGGAGGTAATTCTGCACGTGTCAACACGAAAATAAAAACAAAAGAAGAGAGAGAGAGAGAACGGAAAGCGCAACTTTCATGCTAAAAATAAAAAAACAAACGTTTGATTCGATTCGATTCGTTGTGTGTTAACGTTGAGTTTTCATGTCAGTTTGATTGATCGAACGTAATCGAAGCGATCCTTTCTTTTCTTCACTGCAAAAGTTAGTTGCGTGACGTAACGTAACGTAATATAACGTACGTACGTACGTCCTATATTTCGGTGTGGGAGCCGCTTTTGTTATCTTTAGCTTCTGAAAAGGCGAGAACCATGGACTGGTGTAGCATATTAATAAATCAATACGGTATACTACGGTATAGTAAGTAATAAGTGAGCGTGAGAGAGGCGCACGTATATTACATAATATAAAACAGAGAGAGAGAGAGTGAGAGAAATATGTATATGCACGAGAGGTTCCCTGAAAATTGGGGGAATCCCTTCGACCGACGCCACCGCCGCCTCCTACTCTTCTAACCACAACCACCACCACCGAATAACCCAATTGCGTAAGAGCACTACACGTCACTGCCACTTAACATCGATAGTGATGGGCAAAAATATTTTTACTCGTCAAAGTAGGCTGATCGCAATACTATGTGGATGCGCCGGGACAATTTCCATTCGGACATCATCATCAATCGTTCGACTTTGCTACATTTTGCAATTGTTTGCAAAACAAAAATGATTTGACATGAGCACGCCTGATCCTTGCGCATTACAACATGACGCACAGACAAATTGACAGTGACAGCTGACGATTAATTGGCTGTGCCGTGTTGATGGGTGACAGCGGTTTTTTTTATTTTTTTTAAATTTCATTTTCACCTTTCGTTTAATCAGTTGAATTTAGAAAATTGCAAATTAAAATCCCCATCTTGCATATATGTTCGTAAGACAACAGCCTACTTACGTTTCTGTAACTTTTTGTTACGTGTGGAATGGATGGAAACAAAAGAAAGAGAGAGAGAGAGGGGGGAATTTCATCAAGGAAGCGATGAAAAATGCACGAGGCTTTCGTCTTGTAAATTAGGATTTCTTTGCTGTTGCTCTCTCTCTCTCTCACCGGCAAAGAAAATAATAAATATGAATATTCTTTCTTTTTCTTTTCTTTCTTTTGCAGGGTATTCAAGAAATCGTCGCCCAACAGCAAACTGACACTATATTTGAGCAGCAGGGATCTGGTCGTGTCGACCGGAAAGATCGACAGGCTTCAGGGTGTTCTTTTGGTCGACCCCGAATTCGTCGAGGACAGAAAAGTCTACGGTCAAATCACATTGACATTCAGGTACAGAAACAACAACAACAACAGCAACAGCAACAAGAAAAGCGCTACTTTTGATTCGATTCGATCGATTAAAATATGTACATTGTTTCGAGTATTGTAAGTGTTTCGTATCGGATACAATGTCGATTTACCAGGGTTCACGGGGGAGGCCACCTTGGCCCAGATGCGGATCGTTTCCAAGGCCAAAGTCGATACACTACTACTATTACGACGACGACGTTCATTCGTTTCGTTCGGGTCGATCGCGACTCGCATTTCAATTGATTCACTCAAAGACAAACAAACGAAACAAACTCGAAGACAAGATTGTCGATTGTCTTTCTTCTTCTTCTTCAAATAATCGCGATCGTTTCCGTTTGTAACATCACATGTAAAGTTTTATAAAACGCCAACAACTCACTCATTATGCAAATAAAAACGAAAAAGAAAAAAAAGGATGCGCCTGTCCTAAGTAAATTCGTATCGAAAGATATAGAATAGTATAATCACCGTTACGATGCGCGATTTTAACACGATAAATCCAATTCCTGCAGCTTCTTCTATATTCAGCCCCAATGGAAAACTAATTAAGTCTTCCATCGCTTATAATTTCCCCCTCCCCCTCCTTTTTATCTTTCTTCCCTTGCCCCTTCTTTTCATCCGTCCGAGAGTTCGAGAGCCCTTCGCTCCCTCCACACACCGCCCTCCGCACCCACCGTCTATTCACGAGTTTTCCGTTTCTTCTTTGCAATTATCGTCCTCGCAATCGTCGTCTTAAAATACTCGCCCGGGGGAGGAATTTAAATAGCTTGAAAAGAAGAAGAAGATGAAAGAAGCGAAAAAAAAGAAACTCTTTCGGACGCGCACGATCCAATTAAACCTCATTTCCATTATATTCTCTGTTACCATGGTAATTATTATATTCGCCAACGCGTCGTTTTTGCTGTTACGGTTACCATAACAATTGCAGCACGTGGGACGTGTTTCTGTTTATGTACAAAACAAAAAGCAAATAATTTCTGTGCGGGACGGATGAAAAGATCATATCGATTCATATCGTCGCGGATGATTTGATGCGAGAAATGTACATATGTCTATATATATATTTTGCAGATACGGACGTGAAGATGAGGAGGTGATGGGGCTGAAATTCTGCAACGAAGCCGTGATGTGTCTGGCCCAGCTTTACCCGCCCCCTTCCAACGTTCCCGAAGACGTAACACCTCTTCAGGTAAACATCTCTCATACACACACATATATATACATCTAAAAATGCAGACCGATGAGCGGGCGGACGCTCGGTCGTATTGTTGGATTCAATTCGGCGTACGAAAATATTTCCGCTTCGTAAATTCGAAACGGACCAATTTCCATCGAAATATAGAACGCATTTCGCCCGTCTCTCTCTCTCCCTCTTCATTCTCTCACCCACATCGAAACCGAATCCAATATTATTTTATAATTTCGATACTTCTACTGCTGCTGCTGCTGCCAGCCGATGCGTATCAAATTCACTTAACGTGTTTTCGTTTAATTTGCATGGAATTAATTTATTGACAGAACACACACGTCGAATTCACAATTATTATTATTATACGTATACGTATAGGTGTACGAGAGAGTGGGATTTAAATAGTTCCAACCATTCAAACTACGGTGTGTTACAGCTGCTTAAATCGATCAGCGTTGGCCGCGAAACCCGGCGCCTTCACTCTCTCTCTCTCACACACACATAAGCACGCGCTTACAATTATACAATTTCGTTTCTTACACCTTTCACATGAGACGTGTTTCAATTAAGAAATCATATTCAAATTATTTCATTTCCGCATGCTAATGTGTATGTGCAAAAGACGTAAAACAAAGTGCTTTGTGTGTGTGTGTGTTGTTTCTTTGTGGCGCTTGATAAATGATGGTTAGCTCGTTTTAGCAAAGTGGATGCTGCTGCTGCTCCTGCTACACAATGCAAAGTGCGTGATCGGTTGCAATTTGAGACCGTTGCTGAGAAGATTAATCAGCTTCTTAAGAATGATCGAAATCGGGATAAACTTTGCAAAAGGCGAATCCCGTGAACCGAACGAGTTGAGTGCGTGAATGCGTGCGTGCGTACGAACATCGATCGTGTGCGAAGCCGAAACTCTCTCCAGCAGTTTCGAAAACTTCCTTTCGCTTAGAAAAGAAAGACCGACCGAACAATTCTTAACACGGATCCCGTGTAGAGAATAATTAAATTAACTTAAAACCCGAGAACCAGGGCCGGCCGAGAAAAGTCGACGAAACAAAGGCCACGTAAGACGGTGACAACAACGAGATTGAAAAATAACTTGCAACAATAAATATGAACACTCACCGCTTTCGCACGAGACTCGACGAGATCTTTTTGTAATCGTAATTTCGTTGGCAACGAACATTTCGTAGCTTCCATGGAAACAAACATCGATCGCTATTGTTGTTGTTGTTGCTGATGTTGTTGTTATAGTGGGCCGTTGCGGTGTTCGATTAATCGCAATAGCTGTTGTGTTTAAAACAAAAGAAGTATTTGCGAAATAATATGTGACACTTGAGAGGAGAAAAAAAGAAGATGACGTCCAATACTTACTTGATAAAAAAAGCAACTAATCGATGAATGAAATGATGAATAGTTAATGCATCACCAATGCAATCACGGTCTTTCGATGCGGACACGAAAAATACGGATTCTTTGAGGGCATGTCGAAAATGAAATTACGAAATGCGAAAGAGGAAAGGTCTGATGGATGATGAACGGTGGGTCGGAATGAGGCAAGTTGAATAACAAAAGAAGAAAAAAAAAAGAAGAAGGTAAAAAGGGCGAAAATACTTTACGCTCTTTCTTCTCGGTTTCTTTGCTTTGTCCGTGACCGTGACTCCGAATTTCACGCACAAAATAAACACCCTTTGTCCTTATTTCATCTTTTCTTTTTTTCACCCTCTCTGAAGATAATTGCGTTACGGCCATCATCCGCCAAAAGCGCAACGTCCCGTGAATTATGTTCCCATCTAACGAGAGGGGGGAAAAGGGACGAAAGGCAAACAAGTGAAATATAAAGGCAGAAAGGAATGAATGACCTTTTGCTTGAGGAGATTACTGTCAGTGTAGGGAAGGTGAAGAGAAGATGTAAGAAATCGGTTGCGTTTCACTCTTTTATTTCATACTTTAATATAATATAGCTGATAATCTAGCAATAGATTTGTTGGCATTGTTGGCAGCCTGTACACTATACTATGTATATATAACGATAGATAGATAGAGATGGATGAGTAAGTGAGTGGTTGGTTGGTTGGTTGGTACTGCATGTGTGTGTGTGTGTGTGCTTATCTAATCAATATCCCTCATCGCTCCAAGTGATATCGTAGTCCTTGTAGACTTTCTTCAATATATTTACCGTAACCTGATGATCCGCCTTACCGTAACCCTGCAAGTCAAACATACGACGATCGTCAACAGCAAATAAACAAACAAACAAACAAACATGAAACTGGAGGAGTATGAGAAAGATACCGGAAGCAAGCGTCGGAGTATATACACACAGTCCGGCCAACCGTTTAATCGAATCAAGGATGTAGTAAACACGAGAAAAGAAGAAGGAAAGATTGCAAAATGTATGTGCTTCACGTAACGTAATCTAATTGCAAATGTTACGCAAACACTCGCCGCATCGTTTAACTAATAAATCTGATAGAAATCTAAATAGAAGTGAGCCAATTACGTTCTTCCCCTCCTCTTCTCACACATTCTCACCCAGATCCAAACGACCTCAAACCGAAAATCGTCTTTTGAAGTTCCTCCAAATCTAATCACACCTCCCTCAACTCTCGCTCACTTAATGAGCAAAGAAGAGTCGAATCAAGAGGGGGGAGGGAATGGAGAGCTGTGTATTCACCGATCGTTAAACGAAAGAAAAACTTTTTAATCGCGCGCAAATTATTTAAATTCCCATCCCTGATTTATGGCTGGCAAAAAAACGATGGACCGATCGATCACAATCGCTGACCGATTTCAATTGTTTTCAACTTCACCTGCGAGTATCCGTAAACCCGGATGGTTTTTGCAGCGGCATCGTGATTGATCCTGCCGCCACCCAACACCTTCGTCTTCCAATCCACAAGCTCCCCGGATTGCTTCAACTTCTGCAGCTGCTCCGTAAACTTGTCGCTAATGTCACCTGCAAACAAACAAATAGGTCGTCAAACTCAAACAATTACGAATCGATTGCTAAAACGTGAACACTCGATGTAGATGATCTAAAAGTAAAGAAGATTATATAAAGTCAGCGTGCAAGTAGAAAGAGAATACGAGTGAGAGTAAAATCCCCATTTAAATAAGATAACATTACATTCAGCTATACGGAAGAAGTCCGCTCTTCTCATATCTCATCTATCTAAGAAGAACATAATCATAAAGACAACAACAACAACAACAACAAGAGCATCCGTAAAATGAGGATGAGAAAGACGATACTCTCTCTTCCCTCCGTAAGGACGTAACTCAATTTCTCCGTTGCGAAACTCGTTACCAACTCATACTTCCATGTATGCATATACCTGGAAAACCAATTACACCGGCGGTTCAATTTGGAACATCTTCCGTGAAACGCGCCAAGATTTTCGGTTTACTTTACGCTCACTCAACGTAAAAGATGGAATAATCTATTTTTTAATTAATTTTAAACGTGTTAAGTCGATCAACACGAAACAAAATTAATGAATTAATTTAGAAGACGAAGGCAACGATGAAGAGAGATGATTTAACGAAAATTCGACGTGAAAAGAAAATGAAAAATAAAATGAAATGAAAAGAAAAGAGCAGCGAACAAAGGAAACAAATGTATCTATATAAAAATGCGAGGGTTGCGAAGACGATGATCTGAATCGAATGGCGATGTGGTGGAATTGGCGATAAATATTGACGTCATATTCTTTGCGCGAAATTCTGGGCTGCAAGGAGGAAGAGGACCACCCACAACACCCCCCCAACCACTGAGATGGAAGCGACGGCGGCGGCGGCGGCGGCTGTGAAAACACGGCGATAATGAAGAAAAGGGAAAATCCGCTGTAATTACGAACCTTTAATACATATTTATGATTGAACCGCAAATGCGAAGAGGACGATGAGAGAGAGAGACAGATAGAGAGAGAGATGAGTGTAAGGAAAGGAGATTTGTATTAGAATTAAATTTTAATTGCTTCCATTAAATCGTGGCATTTATGAGATGAAGATTATGGGTTCGGGCTTCCATTATCTGCAGGAACGAAGGATTTATTACAGCAGCACACCGATCAGCGCAGTTTAGGTAATGGTAGTAGTAGTAGTGATTGTGGATCGTTCCGTATTGTCTCCTGTCGCTTATAAAGTCACCACAACCACAACAACCACCATCACCATACCAACTAATTTACGTGCTCGCATCAATCCAAACTGCAACGACTTTATACGTCCATCATCCTGTAACGATTAACGACAGAATTCAAACTAACTACTCTCCCTCTCTCCCTCAAAAAAAAAGCACATCCACTTTGTATTAAGCCATATGTTCTCAATCTATTATGTCATTATGACAACACAAAATATAACGTTTAGCAACATTGTGACATATTTGCATCCACCGCAGTCAACTCGAAGCAGATTATAATAACGATTATATTTCGTGCATACTTTTGCTGCGAGCGTTGTTACTGTCAGCTAGTTGTGCGGGAGGACAGGTGGAAAAGCGAAAAAGTTTTCGGCGTTGTTGCGTAATGCGACACGAGTTTGACCTAGAGAGAAACGAACGAACGAACGAACGAGTAAATAAAATATTATCCAAAAGAGAGAGAGAGAGAGACGATAGGATAATGATGTTGAAAAAGAAGAATGGACATACTAATTAATTACTGCGTTTCGATGGGTAAGGATTTTAATAATGACAATAAAAGCAAATAAAAATCAATCACGTTCACCGGAAAACGAGATGATGATGATTAGTGGTGCGTGTGTGCGAGATGAAACTCAATTTCGAAGCTATTTACACACACATACACACACTCTCTCTTCTTTCATTTCGGTGGTGTTCAATTAATTCTTCCCTTTTATTTGCCCATTACGCCGAAATCCCGGTTGGATTTCACATCAGAAAATGACCATCATTGCTTCCCGTTCTCTACACACACACACACATACGCGACAAATTATTTCCCCTGAGGAGACATCGAAGAAGGAAAGAAAAAAAAAGAACAAGAAGAAGGCTTTTACTTTTCATCTCAATCGAAACGAAAGCGTTTTCTCGTTTTTTCTTTCTTTTCCTCTCCTATAAACGTTAACACCAGAAGGCGCTTCTATGACTTGCGGCACTCGTTTAATCTACAAAGTTTTCAAGGAATATAAACATTTCGAATTACACGTCGACTATACGAAATCATAACAGCCCTAATTGGGGTTGCTCCATCTCTCTTCTCTTTTCGTCGGCGTGTATTGTGCAATTTTCGGCCTTCCGAAGATAATTAACATTATGTGTAACAAGGTTGGCGCGGGATTCCAACGTAATTTCGGAATCACCGAAAGCTCGAAATCCGACCCCGACACATCCCTTGAAAACATAGCGACGCCCAAAACGACGACGAAGAGAGAGAGAGAGAGAGAGATATGAATATGTATATTGGAATGGCTATAAAGGAGATGAGTGAGTGGATCGGTGTGTGTGTGTGTGTATGTGTTCTTCTCACAATCCCATAGAGCGCGCGAGAGCAAACAAGATAACGCGCGTAATTTGCACGCGACGCCGAGGCAAGAATAAACTTGGCCGGAAAGTTTAATACGGAAAAGAAGGAAATAAGGAGGATAGAATGGGATAGGGATAGTGATTTTGCAGAGAGAAAAAAGAGGAATTGGTAATCCAGAAGAAAATTAAGTAAACAAATTGTTTGCCCGGTGAAATCTGCCTTCGAGCCATTCCATCGCCGAGAATGCTGTAAACGGAATAAATAAAGAGTAAAAAAAAAACAACTACTCGATTGCCGTTCCTCGAAATCCTGAAATGTGTATATAATTGGATGATGAGAGAATGAAAAGAGAGTTGAAGTTATTAGCTAGTAATTCGTTTTAATCCGGATGCAAATGGTTGTTGAAATTGAATTATATTGAATTTTCGCACATCCCGGTCCTGCTCAGATGAGCTCACTAATTGAGACGGATATTGCTGCAAAGAAACCGATAGCCCCCGCCGACGTTAATTACTACCCAAGAATCCTTTTAATTTGTGCACGAGGAAATGAAAGAAGACCCATCGACACGGGTCACTTGATTGTTGTTGTTGCTAACGATAGATGATTGGTTGGTTGATGGCGATTTGCCATAAAATTTCTTGCATTAGTTGTAATGCGTTGATTTGATTGGTTGCAGGAAGCGCTTATCAAACGTCTCGGATCGAACGCCTACCCGTTCAACATGGAAATAACGCCGCTGGCGCCGCCCAGCGTCCAACTGGTGCCGGCCAAGGAATACAGCGGAGCGCCGATTGGTACCAGCTACGATGTCAGAGCCTACGTCGGTACGTCCAACATGAAATCATTTTAATATCAATCATTATAATCACATAATATTGGATGCAATGCAATTGAAAGTAGTAGTAACAACCTAACATTCGTTAGGAAATGATTCGACCAATTGGAGAGCTTCAATTACCACTCTCTGCACGTCTCTCGTTCGTGATTCGCTCCAGAGAAATGGAGGGCGCCAATCGAAGCGTTCGCTCTCAAAAACAAATAGAAATCCATCGATAGAACCACGGCCAACTCTGAATTATTAATTGATATATATATACACATGCTAGAAGCAACTGGTAATAATTAGACTTCCAGACAATCTAATTCATTGCAGTCCTTCGTTCAACCGCAAAACATGCATCAACATAATCATAATGATGATGATCATCATCATCATTATAATATGTGCTTAAAATATCCCAAATTCTTGCAGCATTGGGTGTGGTTTTCGTTCATTCAACATTAGCTAATTACTATTTAACCGGTCGACAACATGAGAAACAGTTTGCTTTCTAGAGAGGAAAAATGAAATCGATATGGATGGATTTATATGAAAATATTGAATCGGTGAATAAAGGGGAAATTTGGTGGCGCGCCACCGTTTAATGGAAAATTCCCGATTGATATATCAAATTAACTAATTAGTTAATGGTGATTCCATGTACGAACGAACAGCCGACAATAAACAAACAAAAAAAAAGTAGATACGAGTAGTACGTTGGATGGTGATGGTCATTGTGATGATGATGATGATCATCGAGAGTAAAGCGAAACGTTGAAAACGAAAAGTGTTTTTTTTTTCTCTTTATCTGCTTGACTTGACAATGGATTCTAATTGGAATCGTTGGAGTGCGATGATTGTTGGCACGAATTTACGTAAATATGGAAATACGAAAGATTTGAACTTTTTTTTCTTCACGAAAGGTCTGCGAGATGAAGAGAACAAAGAATACGACAGATACATGGATGGATTCGAGGGCGCGCGCGCGCGTGAAGGATTATTTAGTGGAACCATCGCGATGGCATTAATAATTCATACGGCGTGAAAGCAGCGCAGAAAGATGCCCTCTTTCTCACTATTACATAAATATATTTATATAGAAAAATAAAGTAAAATAGAAGAACTGAACAGAAACAACAACAACAACAACAGAAAAATAATTCAAGCTTAACATTCATATCTCTACTACATACGTGCACTCAAATTGGAAAAGGGAATGTTTGGTACGCGAGTGCAACATACAAACACGAACGTTCAGAGCGCCGCAAAACCTTTGACGTTCTGAAATGTCGGTTTTTCAGCTTTTGTTTCTTTTACGTTTTTCTCTTTTTTTGCTTTGCTTTGTTGGTCCGCAGGAGTTGCGGTCGCTTTGACGATCGCATTGCAAAAACAAGTGAAACTGTTGGTTTTCAGCGGATCGAGCGGACGAGAAATTCCATCGAAAGACGACCGTGCGGATGGGCATAAGGGTGGTGCAGAGGGTGTTCGCGCCACCCTCGCCGTACGGTTACGACCCGATGGCCTCGACGACCTCCGGTTCGGGAAAGACGACTCTCTTCGGATGCAAGAGCGCCCCGTTGGAAACGACGCGCTTCTTCGCCCAACAACAGCAACCACAGATGTCGAAATCCGCGGAGGTCGGTATCAACAACGACCTGAAGAATACGACGACGACGACGACGATAGAAGCTAACGATAGCAAATCGAATAAAGTAACGTTCCAGGAAGATAAAGGAGGTGGAGGTGGAGAAGAAAGGATCGATGATGATGATGCTGATGATGTAGGTGTTGCCCGACGCTTAAAGATCAATTTTCATGTTTGATTCAAACTTTTCAGATCAACCCCATCGAACAGGTGAGGGCTTGCTGCGAGAAGAGGCACAGCGTGGCGGCTTTCCTCGCCGAGCTTCCCGCGCCCCGAGCTCTCGTCGAAAAGCAGTTTCTGTTGAGCGACGGCTGCATTGAATTGGAAGCGTCCCTCGACAAGGCCGTCTACCATCACGGCGAAGAGATCCAGGTGATGGTGCACGTTCGCAACAGCAGCAACAAGACTGTCCGCAGAATCAAGGTACTTTATATGATGCGTAAACTAATTGTTATTTGATTAGTTTGTGAATGCGGGCGTAATGGAGACAGTTTAACAAATCAATTGATGTTTGTTGGAGATGCGAGGAGAAGGAGAAGGAGCGACAACGTTTTTATCGTCGTGCGAAAGGCAATTTAGAGGCACGATCGATTATGGAAGGATCGGATGAACGAATGGATCACTAAAGCCGAAAAGCTTTTTCTTCTCGTGTTAACAATGCCTCCTTCTCCTCCTTCTCCTCCCTTGAATGTGCAAAGTATCGATGATTTCATTCGTACTTATATATATATAGATAATGTTAATACGTTTGTGATGTTTTCGTAGGTGTTCATCGTGCAGCACGTGGACGTGTGCATGTTCTCGAACGGAAAGTTCAAGAACGTCGTGTCGATGATCAACTCGAAGGACGACTGTCCTCTATCCTCCGGTCGACTTCTCTCCAAGACGTACACGCTGCTGCCGGTGAAGAGCTCGACGAAGAACTGGATTGCGCTCGAAGATTCGTACACAAAGTCTGGAAGTAGTCTGGCCTCCTCGGTGACGGCGAGTACGGACAGTCCGGACGAGCGCAACGTCTTCGCCATCTACGTCTCCTACTACGTCAAAGTGAAGCTGATCTGCACGGTGATGGGCGGAGAGGTGTCGCTCAAGCTTCCCTTCACCCTGATGCACACCTGCAACGATTTCGATCCAGCGGCGACGCTCACCAGGATCGTCGAGCCGACCTGCAGCAGATCGGCGACGGTGCCCGAGGTGAAACAGGAGAAGGACGGCACGTGAAACGAGGACCCCAAATTGGTAGTCGAGATCAACAACAGTAGCAGGACCAACACCAACACCACCACCGCCACCGTCGACGCCTCCAATCATGATGATGCTGTCGCCTCCTCTACTGCTGCTGCCGCTGCTGCTGATCATGATTACTGTAAAGAGCAACGTCACGCAAAGTCGGCAAAAGATGACTTCGATGAGATCGTGACAGTGCGCAAACAAGAGGAGGAGCAACGCTCGGACCAAATCAAGCAGGAGGCGAAGGAGGACAAAGGGTTCAGCATACGAAGAGCCTGGTGTTGCCTGAAATCACGTCGCACATCATAATATCAATTAAATCTGTACATACATGCACACATACACACACACACACACTTGCACTACCTAGGGAAAGGCTAGATAACTGCTTTGTACAGTAAACGACGCGCTTCTATCTTTAAATGACTAACGCTAATTTCGATGGTATCACTCTAAACGCACCCAGTGTCTCTGAAAACTATCCGCAAAAATCCTCAGCCACCTCTGACTCCCAGCAGTAATTAGTTTCACTTTTTTGCAATTCAAGACGACGAAACGCGGATGAGAAATCCCCAAAATCGCGACCAAAATGAATGAAGACGATGAGTAGTAATCCTCTCTGGTCAGAGGTGGCCGTACTATTATTACTTTATAATTACTAAACAATAAGTTCCTAAAATTTGCAGACTACATCTTCGTATGTATTCATGTGCTGCAACATTATAATCAAAAAGAATACTCTTCCACTGGACGCGCGCAGAAACCAAAAAGGAACTACAACATATCATAATAATGATAACAGGAAAAATATGTAAATACGACAATGTGTGTTCTGGCCCAATCAATAATCAATATTCCTCAAACAAAGATAATCTTAAGAAATCACCCAAAATACAATTATTTTGTTGTTCCCTAAAACTGCACAATTTGTAAATACTATAAATATAATATATATATATAAATATAATACGTGTATAATGATGATGAATGAAAAGTAAAAGTATATATATTCTATTACTAAACTCTCGTTTGCACTTACTGTGATAAGGGCACTCCTCGTATCCCCTCACGACTTCCGTCTTCAAGGCTTCCGCACCTTTCGACTCGGTCATCTGCAGTCTGATCAGGATGTACTTGAAGACACCGCTGGCATCGATGTCCACTTCGGGCACCTTCATCGACATGACTCTTCTCTTCAAAATATTACCGATCATAAACCTACCTACAACAATAAACAAATCGCGTTGATGCGTTACGACGACGTTTACAATGAAAATATGATCGAGTTGTATGCAACTCGTGCGGCAATCGTGAATGTGTGGTTGCCTATTAATACATAACCTCTCGCATGAGAAAAACAAATGCAGGTTTTAGTGCCGAGCGATTAATCGAGTGATTGGCGTGGATTGATTGGATCGAAAGGATGTTGACGACGGATGCGGCGCTCCTGTGGAGGACGCTCAAGGGGGTGATTTGCATTTACAAACCTGCCGACACGAAACTCTCGCACGTCCGAACAACAATTATAAACAAACTGTGCGCCGGTAAAGTATATCAATTGTGTGTGTGTATATGGTGTTAATATTAATTATGATTGAATGCATTCGCTCACTCACCAAGAATAGAAATATATAATAGAATATGTACGTCTGCTTTTGCACGGCGTCGCGTTCAAAGTGTGCGTCACGCGTCAAGGGCACGCGCGAAAATTTAAAACGGAAAACATTATTCACCCTTGATTACCTTGGTAACAATCATCTATTGTTTTGCAGATCTGAACCAATTGGATTGCAGACCTCCCATAGATCACGTCGTAGTGGAGCCGGACGAGAAGGACTGCTTCGATGTGAAAGTCGTCCCTAATCTGGCCGACCATCCGATGGTCGTGGGGCCCAGATATCAGGCCAACGATCTTCCGTGCAGCTGGTCCAACTTCCTGGGCACATCCACATCGGGCGTACTCAGTACTACAATTCTAGAATGTTGTCGGATGTGACCTCTCTGTAACATCAATTTGCAATTCCCGTTTCAGTCTTGGGATTGGGAAGACGCGGTACATCGCTGGCGAAGAACATCAGAGAGAACTACCCGACGCGAGCGTACAGGATCAAAGGTGTCTTCGGTCAATCGACCGATAACAATTACAAGGATGGAAAGGTCGTCGAGAGATCGACATTCTGGCACGTGAAATTGTCGAGACTGGAGAGGTTGCTCGCGAACATGCAAGCCTCCCATCAGAGGAAGATGTTTGAGTGAGTGACTGCTACATTTTACAATTTGTAATTCGTTCGTGATGAATTCTGAATTCATTTTAGAATGTCCGGAGTCGATATGCAATCACAGACGGCCTACGATCTGGCAATCAAAGGACCGATCAGACCGGCAAACTCGAAGCTTCCCTTGATCTACGGCCTCAAGTGCGTGCACTTTCAACCCCCAAACTTTACGATAGGTGAGTGAGTGAATGAATGAAGTTCTCGACGACATCAATTAATCATTATATTTCAGAGGTGCAATGCGTGAATGAGTATGAGATGTATCTGAAGACGTTGATCCACGAGATCGGAACAAGTTTGCATTCTACGGCGCACTGTACAGGTCTTCAGTGCATCAGGCACAGCCATTTCACCCTCGACGACGCTTTTCTGCGTAGGCACTGGGACTTGAGACATTTGATGGCGAACATGGAGAGATGCAACAAAATTATATCTGAGCACGGCAGCATCGTGAGACAGGAGAACGCCACCCTGCAAAGAGTACAACAGTAGATAGTGTAAATTTAAATAAAATAAATAATAATAGAATAGAAAGTTGCCTATATTATATATTTTCTTTTATCACGATGCAAGTACAGTTGCCTATACTGTCATAGTTGTACCCTAGAATCCTGTCGTAACTGACCGAATAGTAAATGATATATATGGAATGAAATAAGACTTTCAATTTTATAAATAACTATATGTATATATTGCACTGAGACAAATAAATTCATATTTGAGGATCGGGTGTTTACTTGGATTGGATTGGAAACCACAGAGGACAGGATGAGGGCGAAAAGAGGAGGAGGTATTAGTAGAAACTCGTGTTTCTTTTCGTTGGAAATGCGCGCTGGTTAATCACTTTTCGCTAACATTCATAATTATATTATTTTTTTTTAACTATGCTTAGAGGAACAATCGATAAATTCTATAATCTATAAATCTAGTAAAGACAGTGCGTATGAATCGAATCATCATCATTAATCAAATCTGTAGTAATGCAATCGGATGATGTTATTAGACGTACGTGTATAAATGTGTGTGTGTGTGTGTTTTTATGCAACACAACGTACAGCGCGCATTCATAAATCCTCGTTACGGTGGGCGGCGTTACCGTCGTCATGGTGGTGGTGGGCGTCTTCGTCGTCGTCGTCTCGCGGAAGCTGCTCACCAAAGTTGCGATGATTCTCGATGATCGACATGATCTTGTTCGTATACGTCGGATGGATGGAGCGTTGCAGCTCGTTCAGCGACTCTTCAGTTTGTTTCAGCAGCTTGATGGCCGTCCTGAGAACCTTCTGCCACTTTTGCATCTCGACCGTGTGCAACGCCTCCTGCTTCTGCAGCAGCTTTATCCAATCGTCGTGGCTCTTTGGTGGGTCCCTGCAAAACACACCGTTAGCGAAGACGAAGACAAATTGGATGGAACGAGTGGTTGCCTTACTTAAGTACGTGTAAATCTATGATGGAATAGGGCGGAGCGTCGTCCTCCAGCGACTGCAGCTTGTAATACAGAACGAAATTCAATCCGATGAGCAGCAGCAGAACGGCGAACACTATGATGTTGGAAGTGCTGATGTGCGAGAGACGTCTGGCGGCAGCGCCCGTTCTCGAACCCCTCGTCATTGTTCCTCCAGCACGAAGAAAAAGTAAAATATAAAGGATATATATACATATGCGTTCGTTCGTTGGCTACCTCTTGGCTCGATCTCCTCGGAGCTGGGTCTCTGGATGCTGAGGGGTCGCCGTCGTCGACGGGATTTCCTCTTAACAGTAATACTGATGGTCTCCTTGGAGTGCTCGACGAGTGCGGAACCCAGATTCGTGAAGAAATCCTCGAGACCCTGCCAGCAGTTCTTCTCGATCATCGTCTTCACCAGACCCCACACCGACTTCTTGTACTTGATCTGACCGTAGACGGCGATCGAACTCTGCGTATCCGAGATGCGGTGGATGCAGTAGTGCACCAAGATGCAGAAGCTGTCCGCATAAGGGATACCAGCATTCACGGTCTCCACATCGATCGCGTACAGGAAGCCGGCCTTGCTGCACGGCAGCATCACCTGCAAGACAAACGAACATCAATCAACATCGTCTTCGTCGTTGTTATGGTAACAGCATAGGTATTACGAGAGCGAGCGAGATAAGAATATTGTGAATTATCTATCTTGCAGCGGACAAAAATTTGAAACATCAAAATAACATTATCCAATGGAAAATATTTGAATTATGTCACAGCACCAACCACTTACTTATCGGTGCATTTCGCAGTAAAATATACACATACATACGTTGTTATCAAAAGTATAAAATAAAAAGGAATATTGAATCGAGTCCAAATTTAGAATATCTTCGAGTGAAGTACTTGTCGAGTAAGTAAGCAACATGTTGTTTACTGAGTGCTGTGCAAATACACTCGAAAGTGGAGCTGGTAGAGAGAGAGAGATTGATTGATTGATTATAAGTAGAGCGTTGGTCGAGTATTTTCGAGCAAACTATAATTGTAATCGACGATGATGAAGTGGTGCTGCAATAGGTTGCATCTGTTGCTGCTGGTCGCAATAGTCGCTCTACTTCCGACAGTTGCGCCGTGGAAGAGATGCGACGACGTCAAGTTTTGTCGGAGGATAAGGAACGATGAGAATCCTGGTCATCGGCATTACCATGAGGTGACCAAGGTGGGCGTCGGCGAGGGCGGAGTCTACGCCGATCTGAAGGACACCCGCACCGGCCGCATGCTTGTGCTGCGCGTCGCCGCACTGAAGAACGCAACATTCTGGGTGCAAATCTTCGACCCGACGGAGAAGAGACACAACGCAACGAACGAAGCACTGAAGGGGGAACCGGAATTGAACTTGGATGCGACCGTGGACGTCGGCAGTGTGGACGTGAGGATAGAGAACGGCGAATCGAAAGCGACCATCCATCTGAAGCCGTTCCTCGTCAACGTCCATTCGAAGTATCTGGGAATCACGCTGAACGAGGGAGGACGGTTCACGTTCAATACGGATCCCGATGATCCGTCCATAGCGATGGACATTAAATTCGGTGGGGCGACGAGGGCGTACGGCATTCCGGAGCACGGCGAAAGGTATCTTCCCATTTAAAAGAGCTACTACTACAACGGTTACTACAATACAATTTCTTTCTTTCTCTCTCTCGTAGATTATCGCTGAAATCGAGCAGAGTCGGAGGTCGGGATCCGTACAGGCTGTTCAACGTGGACTACTGCTGCTACGAACTGGAGACGCCCGACTCTCTTTACGGTTCGGTGCCCGTCATCTACGGCCACGGCACCGCTCACACCGGTGGCGCCTTCTGGTTGAATTCGGCGCAGACTTTCGTCGACGTCAACTACGACGGCGGCGATGTGAACGCTCTGTTCATGAGCGAGAGCGGCATCGTCGATCTGTTCGTGTTCCCCGGACCCACACTGCAGGCGGCCGTCCGACAGTACGGCATCCTCACGGGCACCGCTCCTCTGCCGCAAATCTTCAGCTTGGCTTACCACCAGAGCAGATACAGCTACTTCACGCAGACCGATTTGGAGTCGGTGGTGAAGCGACTCGACGATGCGGATTTCCCGGTCGACGTCCTCTGGCTGGACATCGATTACACCGATGCGAGGAAATACTTTACGTGGAATTACACGGCCTTTCCGCAGCCGGACAAGATGATCGCGAAATTGGATGATCAGGGAAGGCAGCTGGTCGTCATCATCGATCCGCACATCAAGGTGGAGAAAGGCTACAGGGTGTACGAGGAAGCTCTCGAGAACGGATACTTCGTGAGGAACGTCAACGGTAGTGTGTTCGAGGGCGATTGCTGGCCCGGCCTCAGCAGTTACATCGACTTTACGAATCCTCACGCTCTCGATTGGTATTCCTCGTTGTATTCCTATGCGAAGTTTCCGCACGCCGCATCCAACGTGTACATTTGGAACGACATGAATGAGCCGTCCGTATTCAATTCGGACGAGAACACGATGCCCTCGAACGATGTGCTGCATTATGGCAACGCGAAACACAGGGACGTCCACAATTTGTACGGTTTCAAGCAGACGGAGGGCACGTTCAGAGGTTTGCTCGAGAGATCCGATTATAAGAGACGACCGTTCATCCTCACAAGGTCGCATTTCGCCGGT